GATTAAGAGTCCATGCTCTCACCCCTGTGGCCCAGGTTTGTTTCCTGGTCAGGAAACCACACCACCCGTGTGTCAGTTGTCATACTTTGGAGGCTGTGTGGTGCTGTGATGCTGAAAGCTATGCCCTTGGTATTTCAAATACCAGCAGGGTCACTCACGGTGGACAGGTTTCAGTAGAACTTCCAGACTAAGACAGACTAGGAAGAAGGACCCGACCACCCACATCCACGAAAAAATGGCCATGAAAACCCTACGAATAGCAGCGGAGCATTGGCTGATACAGTGCTGGAAGGTGAAAGGATGGCGCAAAAAGCCCAGGCAGGGTTCCCCTCTGCTGTACACAGGGCTGCTAGGAGCCAGAATCAACTCAGTGGCACTAACAACAACAAACTGTAATCAGCTTGAGCGCTACTCATTTCCCCTTCAATCTTCTGGAAGATACATTCTATCTGACTGATCTTCATAACACTCACAGAACTGAGCACAATACCTTGCACTTGGCAATTGCGCTTGGCAATTATTCAGTAAGTAAATTAATAAATGCCGTATTTATTTTTTTTTTTTTCTTTTTCTCCCCAAAGCTCCCCAGGACATAGTTGCATATGTTAGTTGTGGGTCCTTCTAGTTGTGGCATGTGGGATGCTGCCTCAGCGTGACCCGAGGAGAGGCGCCATGTCTGGGCCCAGGATTCCAACCGGTGAAACCCCGGGCTGCGGAAGCAGAGCGTGCGAACTTAACCACTCAGCCACAGGGCTGGCCCCAATAAATGCTGTATTTAAAAACAGTACAAATGGAGAAGTGAAGGATGGCAAGAGTATCTCACACATCTTCATCCTCCCTCCTCTTCTCCCTCACCCATCCATTTAAGACATATTTGTTGCCTAACTGTTATACGTTGGGCACTCCGAAAACACCTAATGGTCCAGAAGTCATATCACCCAATACAAAAATAAAAGCGGCTCTTTTATCATCCTCAAAATACCTGCAACTTTTAGACACAAAATTAGTCCTTCCAAGATTAACATAAATACTATGCTACTGCTCCCAACAGACAAGATTTGTTAATTTCATGAGAAAAAAATTTAATTCATAAATGAGGCCCCAAAACAGTCTAATGCCTGGTCTTGGGATTGTTGGGACTCAAAGGGCATCTCCCCTTTGTCTCTTCATCTCTCTGATCCACAAAGGTTTACTGAATACGTACTAAGGGCCAAGGCCATTGAGGATGATGAGTGGAAAATGACAACAGTCCTTAGTATGACAGGGAAGGGAAACCAAAAACAACATTTCCAATATACCAGGTCCCTGGAAACTGTAAGGTTTAAAAGGGAACTAGGAATGTTCCTAGAGGACCTGGAATGTGAGCTGAGCCTACTCTCTGAGAAATCTGAAAACAGTAGAGTGTCTGCACTTCTCTTTTGCATAAGAGTTGGCGACAGGAAGCGGCAGGGATGAGAAAGAGAAGCTAACGGCCGTGGGCGCTCTTCATTCACACCCAGACAGCGGTCACTCACATCACCATTGACTGTCCATTTCTTCACAAGAATTCCAGCCTCTGCCACCAACCCAAGGAGAAAGACATTTCCTTTTCAAAACTAGAAAGAGTATAAAAGGATGTGACACAGAAAAAAGTATGTTATGAAATAAGGTGTCAAAGTATTTCACAGTCCTTGCAAAGAATGTTTGATAGATAGACTCCCCTTTCTGACAGACTGGGAAGATCCATTTCTCTACGGGAAGGGAAGAAGGAGCTCACCCAACCCCCCAACCCACGCCTGCTTGGTGGGAGAGGTGCAGTCCGCCCTGAGCTCGAGGAAACCCCACATAACCAAGGTGTTCGGGAATTCTCATCTGTCGAGCTATCTGTTCTTAAAAAGGTATGGCTGTTTGGGTCTATAAACACCACTTTTACAGCTTAAGTGTTTGGAATTCCTGTAAACTGCTCTTAATATACTTTGACAGTTTTTACCAAATGTTTTAGAAGTTGAAACTTTTTAGTACTCAAGCGCAGGCCAGGGTGAAATATTTGTTATTCGACAATGAGAAAATAGCACTTTAGGGTTTTTTGGCCCTGGGGCAGTGGCAAAAATTAGAAAGACTGATGACAGGAGGTTGGACTGCCTTCTAAGACTCACCAAGGAAATGAACTTTTGAATGCAATGTAGTTCCTTTGAGAAATGTCAGCTTTTAGCCACAGTGGTGAGTGGATGGGTCCTTTCCTGGGACAGGAACAGACTAAAGGCTAGTGCATAAATTTAAGAAACACTTTGAACCGAATTAAAAAATTATATTTAATTCAGTCTCCTCCAGTACTTAATAGACTAGTCTTAAAATTCTATTAAATAATACCAACCTGTAAATGATGTAACACAACGGCAGCATCCATCTGCTACACTGACAGAATTTTTTCCATTAAATCTGATTCTATCACATTTGTTCAGCATTCACTTTCAGAAGCAAACGCTAACAAAGTGCAAAAACACAATCATGATCCCCTTGAAGAAACTGCAGGGGAACTCAAAAGTAAAGCACAGAAATTCACAGAATAATAGCAGAGTTTCCTAAAAGACTTCCCCATCACCATCGGAGAAAATCCAGTAAGAACCGCACAGCAGGGACTGACAATCCAGTGGGGAGGGAATCTGTCCTCCACTTACTTCCATGCATCAGACACTGCACAGGTGTGACTGTGTGCCAGGCACTGTGCTAAGCTAAGCTTTAGGGGACAAAGATCACACATTGTCGAGTGCAGATGGGTCGCGTTTGGTCTATGTGATTGTTTTTTTTTTTTTTTTTAATTTCAAGCAATGCTTAAAAGTCAGGAGATCTCACGGCAACATCCATATATCTGGCTTCTCTAAAAATTGAGAGCTCAGGAGCTGGCCTGGTGGCACAGTGGTTAAGTTCACACATTCCGCTTCTCGGTGGCCTGGGGTTTGCCAGTTTGGATCCCGGGTGCGGACATGGCACTGCATGGCCCGCCATGCCGTGGTAGGCATCCCACATATAAAGTAGAGGAAGATGGGCACGGATGTGAGCTCAGGGCCAGCATTCCTCAGAAAAAGGAGGATTGGCAGTAGTTAGCTCAGGGCTAATCTTCCTCAAAAAAAAAAAAAAAAATGAGAGCTCTAGCAACAGGGGTCAGCATTCCTTCACTGGCAACTTTCAGCTACAAAAGAGATGCAACTGACCCTGCAGCAAAGGACACACTTTCCAGCTTGCCGCAGTCCGCACCATGCCCTACTGCCACCTCAACAACAGCCAGAACTTCACTCATTTATGTCCCTGACTGGCCCTCAAGGTACTTGAGTTAGCCACACCCACTCCAGGAAAAGAAAAGGGACAAAACTGGCCCTTGTGGTTAAGAAGCTCAGAGTCGACTGGAGTTGGCAGATGGGATGATAAATTACAACATGGTACGATATAAACTACAGCAGGGAAACAAGCAGGGTGCAACAGAAACCTTAAGGAGGATGCGACTAATTCCACCAAGGGAAGTGGAGGTACCTAGCTAGGGCACCTTCACAGAGGAGAGGATATCTGGGGAGGGTCTTGAAGGATGAGAAGAGGTTGGTCATGTAGAAAAGTGGAAAGAAGTCACTCTACATGTGAAAAGAGGTAAGAGGACTAAAAAAACGTGGAGTTTTCTGGACACAGGGTTAGGCAGAAAAGGGGGTCTATTGCCTAGCATGCTAACAATGTTAACTTTAAGCGTGGGGCAACGGGGAGCCAAGAGAGTTATTTAAGTCTCACGTGTGGTACTAGCTTAATTTTGCTTATTGTCAAATCACTATAAACATGCCTAAACACAATCCTCGACTACCCTTCGATGTCCATACCATGTTAACTCGAGCTTTGATGCAAGGTCTGAAGGCGATAAAGACACGACGGGTCCAGAGAAGAATCATTTTACTCCATAGTCTACTGGCAGGTACATGATGACGCAACAGCACAAAAGGCCAATAGCAAGGACAAAAAAAGGAAATGAGACGGAAAAAACAGACATGTCTCCCCAAAACAGTGAAAATCAAACGTTTCGCTTTTCTCCCTTAAACTAAACCAAACCTCAAAAAAAGCTAAGATAGGCGAATCAACAAAGGGATTTTTTTTTCCACTGTCTCAGTTATAATAACCCCAAACAGACTATTTCCCAGACTTTTTATTGTTATAACAAACAAACCCATCTTTCACTTCTTGTCATTTGCAATTACCATGCCATAATTGAAAATCAGTGAATCATGATGGAGCTTAAGAGAGAGAGGGCACTAGCTCTGAGCTGTCACTGTCAGCATCACAGAATAAACGAATAATAGCAAGATTTCCTTCTTTATCATCTTTAACCTATATATTGCAGAGACTCCAAAAAATTTATACTTTGTAATTCCCCTCTTTCCCTAAAGATGGCATGATATTTCAAAGCATTTCCCCCTTCAAAACATTGCTTTTCTCTTCTTCAACAGCCAACAGGAAGCCCACACCAAAAGACTTCCACAGAATTTAGAATCTCTTCATCTGAGCCAAGAATCCAATTAAGAGAAAAATTATCTTGCAAGAGTTTGGGCAAGTCAGCCAATTAACCCTCTTGTAACTTTGCTGAGAAAAGAACCTGAATTGTCTAACAAAAGGCTTCACAAGTCAGAAAGAATAAGCTAGGGCAAGGGTGAAGGAGTCCAGAAATTTGGATCCTGTCTGCAATCCTAACCCGTTAGCAAACCATACAACGCCATACAACGCAATAACATTTAACTAATGTCCTTAACAATTTTTCAGTTTATAGACTTAAAATGGTCAACTGCAGAACTGTTGAGCTTATTCCTTGTGAACAAACTCTTTGTCAATGATCTGATGAAACCGAGTTGGACTCTGTAACGAAAAAGAAGAGAAACAACTGGCAGCGGTGTGGGAGAGGTGGTCCTATCCTGCCATCTGTTCCCCAGCCAGATGCTCCTGCCCCATCCCAACGCCCTCTACGGTCTGACTGGCCAGTTCGGTTGACTCACCTTAGTTGCTTCCTCCACACTCTCCCTCAGGGCCTGCAGCTCGGCGTCATACTGCTCCTTCAGTTTGTCCATCTCCTGGTCGTGGCTGGAAACCTCTTCTTTCAGGGCTCCCTTCAGGGCAGTGAGTTCACGCTCCCTCTTTCTCAAGAGGTCTTCCTGCTCCTCTTTGGCAATGAGCAGATCCTGAAGATCCTGTTTGGCCTGTAAGAGTTCCTAGAGAAAGGAAACGTGGACAGGGAAGATGAGGGTCCGACAGCAGCCCTCACCTCCTCTCCAGCGTGGCCACCCAGACACACGGCCCTGCTCTCACCCGTCCTCCCCACTCTCTCCTTCCTCACACTGCTCCCCATTTAGACCATCTCTTCCTCTCCCCTTTCACTCCTCAGAGGCCATCATTCCCCTTGATTTGTCTGCCTTAGCTCTTCTGAGATTTGATTTAATTTGAGGGAGAAAAGGGAAATTGATGTAACTTTCATTGCTTTGAGGAGACATGTCTGGTTTTTCCATCTCATTTCATTTCTGTGCAAAGGTCTGTTGCCCTTGCTCTTGGCCTTTACGTGCTGCTGCGTCATGAGGGACATGCCCACTTGCTGGCCTTGCGTACTTCACACGCCCCTGGAACCCTGCATGTGGTCAAACCCTTAACCCATGATCCTAGTACTCGGGATGACTCTGTCCTATTCTCTTTCTATCGCACTTGTCCATCTGAGCAGGGCATAATATTCACATTTTCTCCTTCTTAACTGCCAAGAGTTCATAAGGAAAGTCACAAAACTGGGGCAACAAGTTCCACTACAAATCGCATTACCTAAACCCAAGTATGTCCTGCCAAAAGCTCAGCATTCTTTTTACTTCGCCATCCTCGTCCGAAACCTGCTCAGCTCTCCTCAAGCTCGGGACTCGCCCTCTCCTGCAGGCGCCCTTCCCTCACACTTGGCTGGGGACTTGGGCATGACTGCCTCAGCTTCCTCTCCACCCTGGCTCTTCTCTGCACTCCAGGCCTTCTCCCCACCCGAAACCACATCACAGACAATGAGCCGTCCCTTGCCAGCCTGCTCCAAGTCTTTTCTCTATCAGTTATCTTTATTTTCTCTGACATTTTGTTCTTTTCCATTTCCTTGAATCTATGTTCTTTCACTCAGGGCACAAGAATGCTGAGTCAAGGGCAAAAAAAGAGACCAGCTTTCCATAGTGGCTGTACCAGTTTGCATTCCCACCAACAGTGTATGAGAAAACAGTATGGGGATTTCTCAAAAAGTTAAAAATAGAAATACCCTATGACCCAGCCATCCCATTACTGGGTATCTATCCTAAGAACCTGAAATCAGAAATCTCAAGAGTCCGTTGCACCCCTATGTTCATCGCAGCATTATTTACAATAGCCAAGACGTGGAACCAACCTACATGCCCAGAAACTGATGACTGGATAAAGAAGATGTGGTATATATACACAATGGAATACTACTCAGCCATAAAAAAAAGACAAAATTGGCCCATTCACAACAACGTGGATGGACCTCGAGGGTATTATGTTAAGCGAAATAAGCCAGTCAGAGAAAGACGAACTCTATATGACTCCACTCATAGGTGGAAGTTAGTATATTGATAAGGAGATCTGATCGGTGGTTACCAGGGAAAAGGGGGGGTGGGGGGAGGGCACAAAGGGGGAAGTGGTGTACCCACAACATGACTAACAAAAATGTACAACTGAAATCTCACAAGGTTGTAATCTATCATAACATTAATTAAAAAAAAAAAAAAAAGAGAGACAAGCTTTACCACCAAACTCTTTGAAAGTATCATTTCTGTTCACTGCCTCTACTTCTTGGCCACCCATTCACTCCTTAATCTCTTGCTAGATAGCTTTTGTTCCTATTCTCCTAAGACTGCCCCTCCAAGGTCACAGAGGCCTCCTAATGACCACATGCAATGACTGCTTCTCAGTCCTCACCTCTGTTGACCCCTCTTTGATCTCCTCACCTATCTCCTTAAAATTCTCCTTTGCCTTGAAGTTCAAGGACACCACACTCTCCTGTTCTCTTCCCTCAGGCCACTTTTTCCATGACAATCTTTTCTGGCTTTTCTCTCTCTTCCCAAAAGCTAAGATGATCCCCAAGAATGCAACTTTGCATTCTTTATTCTTTTTTGGCAAGCTCATCTACTTTTTTTCCAACTATTCATTCTACCTGAATAACTCCCAAACCTTTACCTCCAACCCTTATCTGAGTTCAGACCTGCTCTTTCAATGACCTGCTAGACACATCCATCAGGATGTCCCATGGGCATTCCAGATTCAGTAGGTTCATATTCTTCAGTGAATTCATCATGCTCCTTCCTTTCCTCTTCCTCTGTTCATTATTCTTGTGAACAGCATCATCTGCTCAGAAGCTCACAAGCTCAGGAACTTGGCAGCAAAGTTGACCTCTCTCTTTGTCTCTCACAACCAGTTAGTTATAGTTCTATAACATCTTTGACCCTTTCCCTCACCTCCTTGGTTTACGCTCACATCACCTCCTGCCCAGGTGGTTCACAAGAGCCACTCAACTGCTCCCCAAATCCAGTATCTATTGCGGCCTCTGCCATCATCCACACAGCATCCTCTGTCTGCAGTGCCCTTCTTCCCTCTCAGTCCCACCTCTCTCTGCTTTCAGAAAATCTCTCAAGACTCAGATACTAAACACCCTCCTCCAAGAAGTCTTCCTTAAATTCCCTTCTTGAATATCCATCTCACTTCAGCTGTACTTTTTGCAGCACTTAATACTATTTTTACATTGCAGTCCACGTATTTACATTATTTTATTCTCTCTCCTGCTAGACTGTTAGCTCCTTAAAAGAAGGATATAGATCTGTTTTATTATATTTTTCATGATATTGGGAGCATATCTGTTCTGGATATAAATAAATTAACGTGGAGTACAGTGAGAGTCTGGAGAGCTCAGAATTCTAAACTAGTCTATTCTCTCACAGGTAGCTTCCAAGTAAATACACAACCTGTTCTCTTGGAGCTCCTGGAGAACTGGAGGAATGGCTGCCACCTGGGGACTCGAGGCCTCAGAGATGGTAAGTTACTCTCCATTTAACAAGTGTGTCACTAGAGAGGGGATGAAACTGTTCATGATTTAAGACATATACCTGAAAATGGAATCCTTTCCTTTTCTCTAGGACATGCACATCCATTAAACCGGGGGAACCTGTGCAATCTCAGGGTAGGGCTGCATTGCATACACCAAGACTTAGTCCTTCAAAAATCTAGCTAGCAGGCACTGACAAGCTCTGATGAAAAGTCAAGAGCTTCATCTAGGGAACTAGGGCAACTCTGGCTCTTCCAAAGCACCAAACACAGAACACATAACCAAATCTTAAGTATACCCCGTCCCAGTATTTGTCCACAGGGACAGGGCAGCCTGCTGTTGCTGCTGCCCAGCCCCTCCTTAAGGAGTATCAGGGGTAGGCCCCGTGGCCAAGTGGTTGTGTTTGCGCACTTCGCTCTGGCGGCCCAGGGTTTCGCCAGTTTGGATCTTGGGCATGGACATGGCACTGCTCATCAGGCCGTGCTGAGGCGGGATCCCACATAGCACAACCAGAGAGGCACTCACAACTAGAATATACAACCGTGTGCTGGGGGGCTTTGGGGAGAAGAAGAAGAAAAAAAAAGAAGAAGATTGGCAACAGTTGTTAGCTCAGGGGCCAATCTTTAAAAAGAAAAAAAGGAGTATCAGAGAACCGTCCCCCCATCACTGTTGCTACTGGCTACTCCTGCAGGTCTTCCTGGAGCCCCTGCCAGCCCCTTCACAACAGCCCCTGCGATTCTAATAACCCGTTTCCTGTTCTTACTCTCACACATTGCTCAATTGTTTTGACAATAAGGCAGTTCCTCTTCCCACACTTATCTTTCCTAGGATATATCTGTGTTTTGTGTTGTCTTTCGTGTACTGCCGCCAATGCATGTCAAGAACCTAGGTTTTACGGTCCATTCTACACCAACGTGCTGTTATCTGTGGCTGGGGTTGTTGCGTAAGTGAACTGTGTCGCACAAATCCAATCAGATTACCCCTCACCATATCACCCAGTAGTACTTGAAGTTTTCCAGAGTAGAGATCAAAGGCGCAGGAGATTTCAAAAACTTCACTTCATCACCTCACTGGCTTTACGGCCAATTATATCAAGCCAAAGAAGAGAGAAAAAAATACATCAACCTCAAAATATAAGGAAATATCCATTAGAAATAAACATGCCTCTCCGTAGACTTCAATCAAGGAAAACAAGGAAAAATCTTGGCCATTCAGAATCAGCGCTTTCAAAACTATACATATCCAGGCTAGTTGCATACATGAAAGCAGCCGGAAGAAAGAAACCTAATGTGTATGTATGTGTGGGGAGAGACAAGGGAGGCTATAAAAGTTGACTGTGTTTGGTATTTACTACATAATAAGAACTGTGCTAAGCACTGCTAAAAATCCAAGGACATGAATATCATTAATCTCATTCATAAACGAAAAAAAAACTGGAGCTCTGAGATGCTAACACGCCTAAGATTGCATGGCTTCTAAGCGGTGGAGCCAAGATTCAGACCCAGATCGGATACAATGCCCCTTCGCTTCATTGTACAGCTTCTGCAACCCTGACAAGAAAACTACACACTCGAGAGGGGCTGAGGAGCAAGCAATTACACCGTGCTCAGTCTCTAGATGCAAACAGAACAGAGCATTGTGTTTGGCCAGAAGCGCCTGTAAGGAGGTCCACCTCTTCAAACTAAAGCACAGAAACATGATCAGAATCTGAAGACAAGAAAGAAGGAAAGTTGAAAGAAAAAGTAAAGATGCTCTGAGACCTGGCCATTATCAGCAGCAGCCAGTGGCTATCCTGATGGCAGGTGCAATGAGACAGACACACCAGAATGGCCAGAGCAGTCACTTATTTGCCCACAGAAAGCTTCATTTCACACATCACCTACTCACAGGTATCCCACATCAAAATGAGAAAAATCCTAACCCAGACCCTCTTCTGCATAAATGCCTCCCAAGAAGTTCGACGGGGTCCCTATCTCTGCCCCACACTCACAGAAAGGACAAATAAAAAGTTTTATAGTAAAAATTTAGCTGACAAAGAACTACGTAATTTTTTTTTTACCCGGAAGGATAGCCTAGATAGTGTAACACAGTTGGTGAGAAATATGATTTTTTTTTTTAGTTTTTTATAAAAATTTGTCTAACGCTCAGTAATATTGCTACAAATGAAGTTTTTAAACTATTTTAGAGACCTCATTTCTGAGCACAGTCTATCCTCAGATGAATACAATTTCATAAACGGAATATTTTACTGATATTTAAATACTTGCATTGTGGTAAATGCCGGGAATAAACCACCACCAGCCCCTGCTGGAGTGAGGCCCATCCGTCAGCCCTGCAGGCTCCCATCAAAGACAATGGTTGGTAATTGGAAAATGCCACTGTCACGGCATGAAGAGCCACATCTCACGTTTACCCATTTCCCCCAGAAGGCAGGGAAATGCATTTATGGACAAAGAAGCCAAAAACTTGTTCTATAATCATTTTGTAACTTCAGTTAAAAAAAAATTCAGAACCATCAATTGTTTAACTAAGAATAACGAAGTCATCCTATTATTGGTCAATTATATGGCTTATCCTAAGAAAACATGGTATTTTCTACTATTTCTTTCTTTCTTCCTTTTTTTAAAAAAAATATTCTATTCTCTCTTAATGTCACTTTACTGATTCCATATAGGGGCCTGATGTTATTTAACAAAACGTGAAGTATTAACAGAGATTTTATGAAAAATCTTGTGCATTGTACAGGCCTCACAAAATAAAGGGCCTTCAACCTTTTTCAAACACTCAAAAGCAGAAATGTTTAATGTTCATTAAGAGTCTGTTCTGAACTAAACGCCAGAGAAAACTTGGCCACAACTGTCTTCCGAGCCCCCTGGGCCACTTTTTATTAAGATATGAAGAATAAATTGAAAGTGACAAGGAAATGGGGTCTACTTTATTAGTGATATAGAAACCATAGATCATGTTTTAAATGTTGCTGACAAGTCAAAAGAACCTGATAAAAACAATGATTTTCCAGAGGGCGAGAAACCCACTCTGGCATGGAGAAGCTAACTGTGCCCCAGCTCATTCTGCAGAAAAGCAGCCGTGGATGACATAGTTCCTGTTATAGCAATGAGGCAAATGACCAGAAAGCCAGCAACATCAGGAACGTTTAAGGAAAGATGTGCCGTTTCCCATTCCTGTCTCTCTCCTTATCAGCCTCTGCCTGAAAACACATCACCAAAACTGAGGCTCAGGTCCTCATCTGAGTTACCGCCATGAATAAGTCAACACACTATTTAATTAAATTATGTTCAGTTCGTATATGCTCAGTATATAGTGTTTAAAGAGGCAAAGAAGAGACGGCTCATTTCAGAATTAATCTTTTTCTAAATTGGTGAAATTTTAAAAGTAATTTAAATACTGAAATTTATTTATTCATTTGCTCTGTTGCGTGGCACTGTGCTAGGCACGAGATAGGCGAAAAAGCAAAGACAATATGTTCTTGAATTAGCTGGCTAGTAGGAAAAAGAGAGAGATACAAAAACAGAGCAAGGTCAAATGTGCTAAACTAGAGAATCTAAAAGGACAGAGGACATAAGGGGAATGGGCAAGTATCAATTATAGGTTTCAGTTATTGGGAAAAGCCAGCAATTTACGAGATGTTCCAGTAGCTAAGATAATATCTTTCCCTCTTAGACTCAATGAAGTGCCACATGGGGAAATCATAGAATATGGCAAAGTTTTACCTTCTATTTAAATTTGCTTATGAAGTTATATTTTTATCGAAAGCCAAAAACTGTCCACTGACATCATTTCTGGGAACTAATCCTTAGGAAATTTTTCTAAAGAAGTAAAAGGACACATGTAAAAACCATGCACCACACTTTTTCATAATTGAAAAAAAGAGAAAGAATAAACATAGGAGGATAATTAAATATATTGTGGTTTATCTCTCTAAAAAATGAAAGATAAAGACTATAGAGTATAATAAGGAAAAATGTTTCTGACAATTTTTTTTTTTTGGGGAGAGGAAGATTGTCCCTGAGCTAACATCTATGCCAGTCTGCATCTATTTTGTACGTGGGATGCCACCACAGCATGGTTTGATGAGCGGTGTGTAGGTCTGTGCCTGGGATTCAAACCCGTGAACCCCAGACCGCTGAAGCCAAGCATGCAAATTTAACCACTATGCCACCGGGCCGGCCCAAATTAACTTCTAAAAGCAGGTATCAAAGCTGTAGGGACCCTACAATTGTCCCTAAACTATAGACAGGTAGATAGGGAAGCAAAGGAAAAATGCAGAGAGAAAAATCATTGTTACCGTGTTAGGAAAATATGTGTTTCCACCACCCCCCACTTTAAAATTTCATTTTATGTTGTCTTAATAATACTTTAGTGATAATATACATATTTTCAAAGCTCCATTCTAATGTACCTGATCTTTGTAACTCCGAGCCCTGAGAAGAAGGCAGAGCCATGAGAAGGAGTACACTACCATGAATGTGGTGGTTTGAAGGAATCGTTGGATAAAAAGAGAAAATCCAGGTGGTAAGGAACAACTCCAAGGGCTTTCCAGGAGAAAAGGGCTAAACAGAGACAGAAAGAAGGTCATGTGGGAGAAGAGACACGAGTCCCCTCCGCCCGTGTGAAAAACGAATTCCTGAGAACTCCTATGCTGTGGCCACAAGGGCTCTGCTCTCCGTTCCTGCCAAGTCATGGGGAGGAGAGAGGCTAAGTTCTAAGGGCAGGAACTGAGATCCCTCCTGGGGAATTACTTCTAAACCAAACAAGGAAGGGGGTGAGAAAACAGTGGACAGCTGAGACTTACAGGGACTTGTGGCCAGCAGCTTTTAACCCCAAGAAAGGGACAAAGACAACACCCGAGCCCTTGGGGGAAAAGCAGTAGAATATGAAAATTAAATACTAAGAAGGTACCTTCATTTCTTTGTGGTTTTTTTTTTTTTGCTCTGTTCTAAATTGTATCATTTATTTATGGGGCTGTGCCTACAAACCAAAGCTTACAAGGAACTAAATTTCAAAACTATGCCAAAAATACAGGTAATGATAATGTTATAGCCAGGATCAAAACATCTTAAAATGGGTGCGGTAGAGATGAAAGTTCTGTCTTTTCCTGACCCTTGATTATACTAATTCCCAACAAAAAATGCAGATGTTTGAAACCTATTCTTGCTCTCTAATCATTTCATCGGGTGCATCTACTCCCTCAACAGGATAGTAATCTAATTCAGGGAAGAGATAATAATTGCCTTTAGGAAAACCCCATAATGATGAACATTGCTAAGCAGAGGAAAGCGTCAACCTTATCCACCGACTCAGCTTGATAAGAGCTAAATATTCAACAGGGGATATACTGATGGGGCAGAAGCCAGATGGGCAGCCTGTGTACACTGCAAATACATTCATTCATTCATTCATTCATTCATCCATCCATCCATCCATAATGCATCCATGCAACCATCCACCAAGTATTTCCTGAGCGCTGTATGTCCCAGGCCCTCAGATAACGGCTGCAGATAAAATGCTAAGCAGCTATCACCAGCCCTGCCTCCTGGAGCATATAGTCTTATGGTGGCTTTAAACAAACAAAAACTTAAAAACTTAACCTTTGCTAAGTGCTGCATGGGCATTAATGTCTTTAAAACGTTTTTCCATAAATAGCACTAATTACAAATTATTTTTGCCCAAAGTTTAACCTGAATCTACTAGTGTTTAGATCTTTATTCAAATTTACTAGAAATACAGGGGAGAGTGAGACCAGGTAATGGACACCATAATGCAGAAGGTGGGGCACTGGTCTGGTCTTTTCAGAAGAGATGGGACGGAAGAAAAAGAACAGCGAAGTCGGGGATGGAGGAGGGCCATATACCAAGATAAATGAACTCGGAGAGACAGCAACGAAAGCAATGTGAGATTCTCGATGGCATCCTGGCTGGCTGGGGTGGGGGGACAACTATAAAATATACTTGGGGGACAACTGGCAACTTTTAAATAACGACCAGGTACTAGAATTATTGTTATATTATATATTATAGGAATTATTAATTTTTTAGGTGTAAAAACAGTATTGCGGTTATAAGAAAATTCCCTAATTTTTCAAAGATGCATGCTGAAGAATTTAGGAGTGAGGCTCGGTGTTATCTATAATTTGGTTGGAAATGGTTCAGCAAAGAATAGATGGATGGACAAAAAAATAGAAGGGTGAATGGATGAACAGGTGAATAAATGGAGTAAATATGGCAAAATGTTGACAACTGTTGGATTTTGTTGGGGGCTCTATGGGAATTAATGTATTATTCTTTCTGTTTTTCTGTATGGTTGAAAATTTTCCTAAGACAATGTTTAAAAACTATTATATATGATGATCATACATAATCCAGCCATAGGCACCACTGGTGGAGCAAATGCATAAAACAGAACATGGCTTCTAGCACTGAGTCGCCACACACACCCCAGCACCATCCCATCCTCTCCAGGCAGATGGGGCCTCTCTTGGCGCCAACCCCACAGCCTCTTACCTCAATCAGAACTCCCTTCTCCCTGTCCTCGGATCGTTTAGCACTGTCCAATTCATCATGCATTTCTGAGAGCTGGTCCTGGAGATCTCTGATCTCAGTCTGGTGCTGTTCCCGTTCCATCTTCACCTGGAACAGCCTGGCAGGGAAGGAAGATTATCAGAGAGACTCTCCTGGGCTCTGCTTATTTTCATCCAGTCTGATTTCAGACCTTCAGATGGTCAAGCAGAGTCATCTGAGGCCCCAACAAGCCTCTCATTCTCTGTCCTGCACTGAACACGGAATGACAAACCAGAAAAGGCACGAGGTAAGAACTCATGTCTACAGTCTAACTTGCCCAACAAGAAGACAAGTGAGAACTCAAACCAGTGTAATGGGAAAGGTTATACAGTGACATTTTTTCCCCAAAAGGAGACCATAGGGTACCAGAATTTAGACATAAAAGATAAAGAATTAACAAAAAGAACATAACATTTTTGATAAAAATTTTCACTAAAGCCACTCTACTCCCCACCTCCCACCCCCTCAGGACTCTAGACCAGGAGAGTCAGCAAATTATGGCCCATGGACCGATCTGGCCCACTGTCTGCTTTATAAATAAAGTTTTATTGGAACACAGACATACTTACTCATTTACGTATTGCTTATGGTCGTTTGCAACATACAATGGCAGAATTCAGTGGTTCTGATAAAGACCATATTGGCCCACAAACCCTAAAGTATTTACCATCAGACAGAAAAAGTCTGCCAACTTCTGCTCTAAACCAAACTCACAACTATTCTACCTTTTTATTTTGTAAAGTCTTTAATTTACCCTAAATTTTCTGATTTTTTTCTTACCAACTTCTTTTCTGAAATTAACCTCTAGAAACATTTTAAAAGCAAACACTACACCATCAAAATTGCAAAGGCAATCAAATGCTTTTATTACATAATGTCTTGTTTTTCTTGAATTTCCCTCTAGATTTCACTCCTGCTTAACCTTTCATTTAAGGCTTCCATCATATCCACAGGGCTTCGTAGCAATGTACATTTTCAGACCTTAGTTTCAGATCCTTTTGTCACAGATTTTTTTTTTTTAACTTTATTTATTTATTTATTTATTTTTGAGGAAGATTAGCCCTGAGCTAACTACTGCCAATCTTCCTCTTTTTGCTGAGGAAGACTGGCCCTCAGCTAGCATCCATGCCCATCTTCCTCTACTTTATATGTGGGACGCCTACCACGGCATGGCGTGCCAAGTGGTACCATGTCCGCACCCAGGATCCAAACCAGCAAACCCCGGGCCGCCGAAGCGGGACGTGTGCACTTAACCGCCACACCACTGGGCCTGCCCCTGTCACAGATTTTAATAGAACACAATGACAGGGCCATCTTGGGCTTGACTTTCCTTCTCTGCAGACTCAAAAAAAGGATAAGCACTGGTCACAGAGACCAGCACCACTCAAGACAAAATTCACAAGCTGGGAGGTTATGGGGGTCACATGATATGTGCTTTCTGTAGGCTGGGCCCAGGTTCTTTAAAATCTGTCTTTAGATATGACTACTTGGTACTCCTGCTTCTCGCTTATCTTTTATGAGATCCACTCTAAGGGCTGAAACTTTACAAGACATGCTTGAAGGTATACAAAGAATTTTAAAATTATTAACCTTCCTGCCTACCGGTCTACACGTCACCAGTTTCACAATTTTACAAGGTTAAGAGGGAGAAGAGAAAGGACCAGAAGTTCCTATAAATATCTGGAAGGCTGAATCATATTAAATGGACACAAAGGTTCTGGCTACCTCGGATGCAAGACTCTTGGCCCAGAACTTACTCCTCCAGGTTTTTCCGGAGCTCTCCTTCGCTTTCTTCCAGTCGCTGCTGCAGCACTGAGTTCTCTTCCACCTTAGTGTCGTGCTGGCTCTGGAGCTCTTCCAGATTTGCTTTCATTCTCTCTCTCTCTTCTTTGATGTTCTGTTGATTCTAATATGAATAAGTGTGATTTTAAAGTACCTCCACTGTACATCAATGTGAACCCACAGAAGCCTACTTCTAAACTCTGATGGACTCTATGCCTTCACACTTCTGTTATTAAATAACTTAATCAAACTACATAATTAAGGCATAAAAGTTTGTAACTAGAAAGAATATTAAATATTTAATGAATTGTAATACGTCTAAAAGAGAAACACAAACACAGCTAAACCTCATTCTGCTATTTTTATTACTTAGTTCAGATGTTTCATATACATTTAGTTTCCCATTGGCCTGCCTGAATCCAACAAGGTTTCTTTTACTCCGTCCAAAGAGACAGTCGCTATATGCTTTGGTTATTTAAAAAAAAAAAAAAAAGAAAAAAAAAGTTCTTTGGCTATCAGGAGCCAAATATACAGGAATTTACTCAGTGACGAGAAGAATGTTTCTTGTGGGGAAAAAAACTGGCTTTCACTTCACTTAGGCATCCCAAGGTGCTTAAGATATTCTTTATTAATCAAGACAGAAATAAAAATAATAATATAATCGAAAAATCAGATACCTTGACTTCTAGTTGAAGCTGTCTCTGAAGTTCAGCCACTTCTGTGGTCAACTTGTTTTTCTGTTCCAATAGATCTTTGACTTCAGATGAAGAATTAGAAGCCTACAATTAATTGCAAAGACATCCTAATTTAAATTTTCAAGATGCTTTATGCTCATTCTCTTTCCCCCAAAATGTAATCAGAGTAGTAACACTAGACATCTGAAGACCCAATTCAAATGTAAACCCCTACAGAGAGCCTTCCCTGACTTCACAGGCAGAGTTAGTCACGCTGGCCCCCTCGGGACTCCAGGGAACTCAACTTTACGGCATTTATCGCAGTCACAGGAATTATTTCAGCAGGTATCTCAACACGAGTCCAATATGACTAAAACTTTTCTTTTGGTTTCAAATTGACCACTGATTCTAAAGATTACATGGAAAGGCAAAAGACCTAAAATGAACAAGACAATCTCAAAGAAGAATATAGTTGGAGGACACACATTACAAGATTTCAAGGCTTGCTATACAGTTATGGTAATTAAAACTGTATGGTATCAGCACAAGAAGAGACCAGTAGACTAACGGAATAGAACAGAGAGTCTAGGTTTTAGAGAGGATATAACTAATGGAACTGGCATATACTGGTGGGAGCATAAACTGTTTCAACCACTCTGTAAAATCATTTGGCAGTATTTAAAAGCTAAACATATGCCTACTTCATGACCCAGCAATTTTACACATAGGTTTACGCCCAAGAGAAATGAGTGAGTGTATTTACCATCAAAACATGTACAACAATGTTCACAGAAGCTTTATTCACAATAGCCAAAAACTGGAAATGTCCATCGAGGGTGTATACTATGGTATATTGAAACAATGGAAAGCTATGTATCAATAAAAAGGAGCTACTGATACATTCAACAGTAATGAATCTCACTGACGTAACACTGAGGAAATGAACCTAGACATACAAGAGTAAATATTGTAAAATTTTATTTATATAAAATTCAAGAAAGATAAAACTAATTTATGTTATACAAGTCAGAATATGATTACCTCCTGGGGGGGGGGGGTGTAATTGATTGGGAAGGAATACAAGGAAGCCTTCTAGAGTAATGAGAGGGTTCTGCATCTTGATCTGGGTATGTTTGCATGGATGCATAAGCATGTTAAAATTCAATGAACTATACAGTTAAGATTTGTGCAGTTTTCTGTATGTAAGTTATACCCCAATAAAACAATGCAAAGGGGCCAGCCCCGTGGCCGAGTGGTTAAGTTCACAGACTCCACTTGGGCAGCCCAGGGTTTCACCGGTTCGGATCCTGGGCGCAGACCTAGCACCATTTATCAAGCCATGCTGAGGCGGCATCCCACATAGCAGAGCCAGAAGGACCTAGAACTAGAATATACAACTATGTACTGGGGGGCTTTGGGGCAAAGAAGAAAAAAAAAAGAAAAGAAAATTGGCAATAGATGTTAGCTCGGGTGCCAATCTTAAAAAAAAAAATAACATAAAAACATAAAAATTGATATTTGTTGAAGATTCATCTGTTGCATGAAGTTATACCCAAAGCCCACATCTCTGCATTCCCAAGGCCCTTTGTACACACATCTGTTACAAAAATTTCATTACATTGGGGATTATTGCTCCATAACCACCAATGAGATGTTTCTCCCTCACTCTCTGCATATGCCTGTATGCAAGTAGTAAATAAATGTATGCTAAATAAATTGCTTTCTTCTTTTTGACGCTACATTTCCATAATGAAGAGAGACATAATGAAGAGAGAATTGATTAAACAATCTATTAGAAAATACATCTTTGATCTGAGTATGAATATTAATGCATCTCATTTTTTTTCTTCCATGGATATAAAAACAGGATGAGGCCTAAAATCCTACAGCAAAGTGGTTAGAAAACTACAAATAAGGGAGGGGAAGAGATAAAAGCAGGAATCAAAGCAAGAAAAGGCAGAGACTTGGCTCTCATGCACCTGAATCCAGGTGTGAGCTGTGCATGATGAACCTGGAATGAGGTACTTCCTCACCTACTCCTGTGAAGGGGACCAGAACCCAAGAGTCAACAAAACAAAGGACTTCTAATTTTCTAAGGCAAAATGAGAACAATCCATTTTAGAAATCTAAATCCAACTCAATGAGGGAAATTGTAGAGTGTTCTTTCCCAAATGAAAACTCTGCCTGCTTTGCTGTTTTCCACTATTGGAGAAGGTTCTTACATTCTCTCGCAGGAAATCACTTAGCTGACACCAAAAAGATAAAAACTCCAAAGCCTTTGCCAGGAAATAATCAGATTCAGAAAATAAGAGGGAGGGAAGGGGAGTAGAAAAATATGGGCAATTAAGCAGTCACGGCAGTGTGATCAGAGCCAGAAGTCTAAGAGCCTGAATTCATCTTATCATCTCTCACTGGATTCAGCAGCAACTTCTTAACTGGTCTCCCTTCTTCTATGCTTACTTCTCTCCAAAAGCTACAAAACGAATGAATTTTTACAAATCCAACACTAAATATTCCTGTTTAAAGTCCATCAATGGTAGCGCATCACCTTCAGCCTGAAAGGCAAGCTTCTTCTTGTGATTTCTGAGGTCCTTCCTGTCTGGCGCGCCCCCACCACATCCCGGCTCTCTACTCCAGCTACACTACATTACCTCCAGTCCCCTAAACATGACAAACACACGCCTTTCACATTTTATATCTGTTCATGCCATTCCCTCTTCCTAGAACACCCTGCCTTCCCTTCTTCTCCCGAAGAATTCTATGATCTTTTGAGACACCATTAATGTCACTCACTCCAGAAGGGCTACCCTGACTTCCCCAGTTCAGAATGGATTCCCCCCGTCTGTGACCCACAATGACAATCTTAACATCAAGACCAAAGAAGATGCTCTCCCTAAGAATATGCAGGTAAGTGAAAAGCAAGAGTCATAATGATAATTCAGATTTAAGAGTTTTAGCAAAAGTTCCTAAACTAATTTTAAGAACTATGTTGAGCTCCTGAAGCTTGCCTATAAGCAAGGTGTATAATTTAAAGATTTCCCAGTAGCATATAGTTAGTATATATTAATAAATATATATACTAATACATATATAAATTATAATAATTATAAAAATTATATAATATATAAATTACATAATAATATATATATATAAATTATCTAACATATACATAAATTGTTCTATTTAATGCCAGAGCAGTAGTCATGGATTAGCTGAGTGCTAGAGGAATACTGAGCCGTAGGGCAAAGAGGGTAATTGATGTCTGAAAACATCCTCTACACATATGTTTCCAAAGTTAAAAAGAAGCTACAGAAAAACTTTCTGTTTCCTGCCTCTGAGCATCTTCTCTTTCCTGCCCAGGCAGAATTCCCCGGGGAAGAGAAAGGGAAGATGCATCAGCAAGAACTCCCTTAAACGCTGCTTCCTTTCAGGGCACAAGATGTGTCTGGTATATAACAGATGTTCATCAAACATGAGATGACTCTTTCTTTACCAAAACAATCTCCAAGTGCCAACTCGATTTCAGTACAATAAATTAAACAGGCGATTTTTTTAAAAGAATTTGGTACCACTCCATTCCTTCCTTTCCCATCTACTAATGCTGGTAGGCTTTACCGGAATCTGTCCTTCATTCTCTTGTTCTTATTCTCTCTTTCTTCTTCTCTGAAGTTCCAGAGCTTGGCCCAAGCCTGTTTGCACTTACCTTCCAAAGTTGCCTACAATAATGCTGGGGTTCTCCATCCATTCCTCCACTTCATTCTTCCTATTCCTATTTCCCCTTTCTAAATTTCACTACCTATTTGTTTCACCTTGTTATATTTTACGTATTTTTTAAATAAAATATCTTAAAGCCTTTCTGAAAAAAGACAGGGTGCAAATTATTAATATTTAAAACGTGACCTTCCATCTTAGGTCCTGCCCACTACTCAGGAAACTTTCCACTTGCTGCTATAATCAAACGTACAGACCGAAGAAACTGCAAATTTTTTTGCCACGTTCCACGTTAAAAACCCTCTGCAAAACCCAAAATTTCAATTTACTTGATTATTTCCTGGCGTGCTCCCTGCTGCTCGAGACTTTAAAGTCTGGATTTTCTCAAAGACCAGGTTGACTTTCCTTTTAGTAGCATCGTCATTATCGGTGCTTCTGGAAAAGAGGCAGCAGACGAAAACAATGAGGGGTGCAATCTTCGGTCTCAGAATATTTTATGCCATGACATACAAACAACAAGCCCTTTAGGAAGATAAATTGCAAGAGGCATGAATTAATTCAGGCTGCAAACAAAATCAGTGTGAGAAGAGCAGGATGGATGGTGTATTTTTCTTCAAATAAACTGTTATCTGTTACCACTCAATTTGGGACAGGGGCTCCCATTTTCAAACATGTAAGGAGACATAACCACATTCTCAATAAGCTTGGAGAAAACATCCAGTGAAAACTTAGTAATTGGTTGTTTGATTCAAATGACTTATATTCATTCCAAAAAGGAATTTCTCCTGGATGTGTACCTGACACAGACACACACATTTTACTTTTAAATCTCACACTAAACCTATGTCTAAAAAAATAAATCCCAAAGCTAAGATTGTCAACACAGCAGCCCATTGCCTAGACTTTCACATGTAATGACCAGATAAAGTTGTACTAACTTCTACCACACCTTCTATCAGAAATACCTGGCAATTAAGAAAAAAAATTTAAATAAGTTTCCTGAAATAGGCACCTCCTGTAAAGTCTCTCGCCAGTTTCTCAATAAATCATGGTACAAAAAAATAAAAGAATTTAGAGAAAGAATTTTAAAAACCAAACGTTCTTTTACCTTAATCTTAACATGGTAAAACCTTTCACAGAGAGATACTAGTAACTAGTTCTTAACTAGAAGAATCTCTTCGGCTACTTTTTTTCCCCCCAAAGGAGCCCCTATCTTATACTTTGAACCTGACTCTTGTCAGCTCTATCTTACTGACAAACAATTGTAAGGCATAATATAAAAATATGAAGTGTTTTGATACCAATGAGCATTTGCCAAGTGACTCGCAGTCATGTTAGGCTGTAAAGCCTTTTTCTTTCTTTTTAATCATATCTGCTGAGAGAACCGAAACAGAAACTTCACATTCCTGACTTAGAATTCCAGCGCAGTTAGTATCGAAGGACTGAAAACCAGATTACAGTACTCAAACTCACCTCCAAGATAAGTGTGTGGAAAGCGCTGCTTTTAAATGACTCACACATGCCTTAAAAATAATGGGAGCAGGGGCTCCTGGCCAATGTCAACTCCGGGGAGGGGAGAAGGTGTTTTTATGTGTAACTTCTAACAAGGGACGATTGATGACGATTGTGTGCGCGGAGGAACTCAAGGTGATGGCAGACTTAATTAATTAAACTTAGCAGACACTCTTCCTATTTTTTAATGTGTTTTTGAAACAGTAAATAGTCACTTAAAAAACATATTCATTTTTCATTTTTAAAGTACAGCGTTCTTCCCTACACTCCTCTCCCCTGCTCTCCCCTCCCCGCCAACCTAGACTCAAATGCTGCCAGGAAAACCCCAGCCATTGAGTCTTAACCCTCAAATGGCTCACGCAGGGCAGCAGGGAGGGCAAGACACAAGGTCTCAGAAAAGGAAATTAAGACCCCCACCAGAAATGACCATATTTGGGTCCTTTCAGGAAAATCACTAACCCTTCTTTGAGGTAATTGTAGAGTATCTGCTTGGCCGTCTCCTCATTGGTTTGTTGAGTGAGCTCTTGCTGGCCTTTTAACAGATCCGGAGTGGCCTGGAACATAACGTCTGTTATTAGGTTACAGGACCGTGCTTCCCGGAAGAAGACAAAACCCCGAATCAGAAGCTTCCAAACACAGTCCTACTTTCTAAAAACAATTCCTCAGGTGAGGATCCTCACAACGGCTGGCTCCACTGCTTATTAGCTTTGTAAGCTTGGGCAACTTACTGAACTTTTCCTCACTTCAATTTTCTCACCTGTAGATTGAGGTTAATGGTGCCTTACCTTCATACGGCTGGTGTGATCCTATAATACATAACAAATAGTTCCTGGCACTTAACAACCCTTATTACCATTTTTATCACTATCATCATTTTTTATTCTTACTACCCAAACACTAAAGGTACCACTTAAATAAACTCCATCACTTTAGGATTAACCTAAATTGGAATTAACCTAATTTCTCAGGCCAGGAACTAACTCAGTCGCTCAATTTCATGAGGTAAATTGATACATCTACACAAACGTACGCACTGAACCAATTCTGCATACTTTCAGATTTCACATATACACACACAGAAAAATCGAGCCTCTCTATAGTGTTTGAAGAGTTACTTTACAGACAAGATCACAAAGGGAATCCAGTTGGATCTGAATTAATTTAGAAAACCATACAATTGGCAATAGGACATAGCCTGTGGAAGAAAACTCTAAAAAACCTGGGTGTGCAATTATTGATTCAAGATGGAAGATGAGTATTCCTACAGCCTCTGGCAGCATGACGCTGCAGGATTTAGATCATTTAGAAAAACCAAAAAAAATTTTAAAAGGCTCATACTAGTATTACCTGAGTATTTGAGGCGGAAGTAAATGCCTTCACAGAAATCCTCTTGGCACCAGAGTCAGGCGAAGTTGCTAGTGCCCGATTCTGCAGCATCAGCACAGCAGTGGCTGTTTTAATTTCCTCTTCCTTTTTATTCTGTGCTGGGAGGGAGGATGCGCTCACGGTCAAACTTCCCTGGTCACCTTTGTTTTCTGGAACTTTCCCATCTTTGTTCTGCTGCGGAGGCCTGGGGTGGGCTCCCTGCAGCCTGGCGAAGGCCCGGCCGGCGCCCTGTTTCCCACGGTGCTCCGGAGCCGGTGGCCTCTGCGGGCACACCTGCGACGGCCGGAGGAGATGCTCGCTGGACTTGCCCAAGTTCCTGCTAAATTCCGTTAGGTACTCCGAGTTCCCTTGGAGACCAAAAGGAAAGGCGCTGTCCACACTTCTGGACCTCTTCCTGTCCTCAGGATTGATTCTGTTTCGCTTCCCAGACCTTCCTCTTCTCTGCAGCCCAGGTTTTTGGTCAAATTTTTCAATTAACTGATCCACGCCAGGAATTGATCCCGTATCGATATCCCGCCCCGTTCCTGGCAGGAAGGGGATATACCTTCTGTTTTCATGACGATTCACATTGTCAGCATGAATGGCGCATTCTTGATCATCCAGCAAAAATCTGTACAAAGAGTTGGCCGAAGTGGGAGTTGTGGACGACGAGGAGGATCTCCGAGACCGAGCTCCATCCAAGACTGGTCCCGCTGAATCCTGTCGCCGGAAGGGAAGCACGTCCGGTCTGGTTTTCTTGGCTTCGGGGTGGCTGTGTGGGCTGTGGGCGGTTAGGGGCCTCCCACTAGGGGAAAGGGCCTCCTCTACCGGCCCCTCCTTGGTGCAGCTCTGAAGATTCACACACACTGAGGTCTGCTTCTTGGGGTCATCTATGACCACAGAGCTGCATAAACGAATGGCCGTCACGTTGGATTTCGCCAGGTCTTCCAAAGCAGGGCTGGTAGGCTGGGAACCACTTGGTTTGGGAAAGCAAGTCCAAGCCTTCTTATCGTCGGTACCTTCTTCTGTTAAGGTTTTTAGCCAGTTATTCTCAGAAGGTTGGTGATTTCCTAAGTTCAACTCATTCTTTTCAGGGTTGTAGGGCTGCAAAAGCTCTGGGTGCCTCTGGAAGTTCAGCATGTGGGATGGCTTCACTGGCCCCTCTTTGCGTTCTAGAACTCCATTCTTGCCCTCAAGGAGAGAGGGTTGTTTGGGGTTTCTTACTGGGCTCGTGGGTTGGGCATATGGGTTTTCTGGGAACTGCATTTCTTCGGCACTGTCCTCCTCTGCCACAGACCCATTGCTGGAATGCAGAGGCAGGTTATTTATCATTGGAGATGAAAATGATGGCCCGTTTTCAGAAAAAGATGCACCTTCCAGACACCGCTCTGTGTTATTCAGGACTATGTAGGGGTGGCCATCAATCCCCTGGACCCGAATACTGACACCATAGGAGCCTGCCTTAGTGTGCTGGGAATTCCTTGATTTTTTGGTTTCCTCACTTGCGAGTCTCAGATGGACGCCGTATTCCTGCTGCACGTGTTGATATTCACCGAAATACAGCTCCATGGTTCACTGTTCCCGCTACCAGGGAAAGAGGGAGCAAAAAGAGGACATTAAGTTAGAATTACATCTGTTTAAATGAAGATTATGAGGGGAAACTTCAAAGTTCAAAGAAAACAAAACACTTTAAACAGCAAGGAGACTTCAGAACCAAATGCTGGCCCAAACAGGCCTCTCTGAATGCCAGAGTCCTCTTGACCCTGGTGTTTGTCAACACTGGGCTTGAACCCTGGCCTCAGGGTGGACGACCTGAGCCTTTGGCATAATTTCATTATTCTATTTATAGCCAATGGCTGTTCTGGTTGCTTTGTTTTTTCCTTAGTTGGTTACCTCACACTTTATCCTATTTATTTTTAACCAATAGAATGTTCCAGTTACCAGCATTTGAGAACAAATGACTTTTCCATGAAAATAATTAAGAGCTAAGGCATTCTGATGCTCACCATTTTTCTTTTTTTCTATACTGTTAATTTTCCTGTCTAAACAACCCTTTCAACCTTTTTTATGCACAATCCTGATTTGAAATCTTAATCATTATTTATTTCGGATATACTGTTCAAAACATTTTAAGGAATTGGTTGTGAGACTGGCAGTAAATGATTAAAAATAATTTTCAATCATTTTTTCTTACCAGAACAGTTCAAGTAACATATTGATCTGAAAAAATGTTATAAAAAACTGAAGACCTGGGGCTCTTTATTTTGTGATGGGTCCTAATGTCAAGAATCATTGCCTCTGCCTTTCTGGGGTGTGGCCACCCTTGTCAGAGACTGCACACAGGTCCCCAGGCAGACACCCATCCCCCTCCCACACTCTGAGGTTCTCTCACCAGAAATTCACTTCTATCACTCTAAAAAACTCCAACAGCAAAGGAGATGCGGAGAGCCGCAACAATTGGTCACAGATAAACTGTCTCATTTCCTTCACTGTTAGGGGCTTTTTTGAGTTTTCTTTCTATTTTGGGATCAATCTGGTAGCATTTTATTATCCAAGAAAATCCTCTATTCAATCCACATTTTCAAATTTTATTTGCACAGAATTTTGCACGGTATAAATCATTTCATCTCCTCTAATTTCTACCTAATTTTCATTTGTGCTTTCTTCACCTATTTCTTGATTATACAGGCAAAACTACATGTCCATTTTTTTAAATTGTTGTTCCCCTGAAGAATCAGCTCTTAGCTGTATCAATCATTTTTTAAAGTTTTCTAACATTGAGTTTTAGTTTGATCTTTCTTATTTCCTTGTGCTTTCCTCTGTTTTATTTTGTTGTTCTGTTTCCAATTTCTTAACTTGCATGCTTCACTTGTTGCTTTTCACTCTTTAATTATATCCCATGAATTGTGATATGTGACTGTGTCAGTTAGGAATTGTGTTGGTTCCTACTATTAAAGAGACCCAAAATAGCAACTTAAAGAGTTAGGGTATGTTTTCCCCAGAGGTAGGAAGTCCAGTGCTGGAATGAATCCCAGGATATCTTTGAGGAACACCTCTTGTATCTTTATATTCATCTACCTTTAGCATGTATTAGACACCTTATAATTACAAGATGGCTCATCTAGCATCACATATGCCAAAGACTTATTAGGCCAGCTGATGGTCAACCTTCTTTATAAAGGAGCTTTCCTGGAAGCCCCAGTAATCTCATACACTTTATTGGTGAGAATTGGGAAGTAGAGTTTTTTAGCTAGTCATTGACACTCTCAACAAAACCAATGTTCTGCTAGTAAAAGAGAGAAGAGAATGGATATTGGGAAGGCAGCCAATAGTTTCCACCACAGTAATGTTTCTATTATTATTTTTTAGATAGTTTCAATTTGTGGTTTTGATTTTGTCTTTGACCGAAGAGTTGTTTTTGAGAAAGTTTTTTCATATCCATTATATTTTTTGTGTTGTTTTGGCTTGGAGGATCTGTATTTCTATCTGTTGTTAATTTCTACTTGTAGTCAAAAAATGAAGTCTCTATTATTTCTTTTTAAACGTATTTAGATTTCTTTTGTCAGCAAATATATGGATAATTTTTGTCAACGTTTAATGGGTGCTGGATGTAGTCTCTATTTTAAGGCACGGCATTCAAAATACATCCATACAACCTGACCAGTTATTTAGGTCAGCTAGAGCACATCCTTACTTATTTTGTCTTTCTGATTTGTCTTGGGTCTTTCTGGATCCATTCGTCTCCTACTACTAGCATGGTGCTGTCAGTTTTGCTTGATTATTCTTTTAAATGTAAAACATATTAGATATCATCGCCTCCCATTTTACAGATAGGAACAACTTGGAGAGGTACATTTATCCGCAATATTCATCATCATCTCACCAATTCCAATTATTTCATTATGTCTACCTTCAGTTTTATCAGTTATACTAACATTTTTAAACAATTTAATTTTTAGTCAAAGTAAGACAAGATAGAATAAAAACCTGTACTCTCCAGCAACCCATCCCCAATCCGGGTCACATTCCCCAGAGGAAACCAACTGCAAATATTAGTTATTTCTTCTAGTACTTTCCATGTTGCTAAGCAACATGCCTAGCTGCAATTTCTTGTCAGTTTTACATATGGTAGATGACATATCATACATATGAATTTCTCATTCTACTAGTTTCCCAATAATAAAATCAAGAGCCAATTGTTTATATTATTATGACTACATAAATATTGTCCACTAAAGGGCCAAAATTACAGACTATGGTCATCTTTCCTTTCTTACAAAACTTTTAACTTTTCTAGAGTTAATAATTGATTGCTATTTTTACTTGTCTTGTTTTCTAGATACCTATCCTTAAATTGTTTCATCAGCTACATCACATCTCTTAGATGCTTATCAGTATTAATTTCCAGATGATCAAAATAGATAATTTGGTGATTTTTCCCTGGTAACCTCCATTCTGTAGTCTTCCATCCTCCCACCCTATATTAGGGGCTACCTGCTCTCTTCCTTTTGTCTATACTGTTTCCCAAGTTTCATGTCTTCATCTTTCTTGGTTCACCCAATCAATCTGAAGGAGCACACTTCAGACCAATTTTAAGCGAAGTCCAAAAGACTAAAATTTTTGAGTCCTTGTATTTTGAAAAATGTCTTTCTTCTCGGCTTACTTTTGGTTGGTAGTCTAGCTGGATTTAGAATCTAGGTTAAAAATCATCTTCCCTCAGATTTTTTAAAGTATCAGTCCATTACCTTCTAGCTTCCAGGGATGCTGTTAAGAATTCTGATGCTATTATGATATCCTTTCCTCTGTAAATGTCCTGTTTATTTTTCTCTGAACATTTTCAGGACGTTTTCTTTGTCCCTGGTATTCTGAAATTTCACAATGACAGACTCAAAATCGGGCACTTTTATAAAACATGGACACAACATATTCCTTCAATTTGGAAATTCATGTCTTTAGTTCTATGAAATGTTCTTGTGTTATTTCTGTGATAATGTTTGGAGAACCATTTTATTTTGCTCTTGGTTTTTGCATCTAATATATTAGTAAGGTTGAATCTATTAGACCAGATTCCAGTTTTTCATATTTCTTTTCTCATCTACTTTTCAACTCTGTCTTCTTTGTTCTACTTTTTAAGAGACAGCCTCAACTTTTTTTAAAAAATTCAAGTATTTAATTTGTAATTTCCAATATCTCTTCCTTGTTCTCTAGTTGTTTCTCTTTCATAAATGTTATTCTTATTTTAGACATGAAATAGCTTGTCTCTCTTTCTGAGGACTATAACTTTTTTTTAAAAAAAATGTTTCCTCTGCTGTCTGCAGCATCGCAAAGTTTCTCTTTTCCTGTTTGTTCTGGTCCCTTTCATGTTGAAGGCTTTCCTAACATGACTTGGATCCTTGGCTGCCTGATCCTATTTAAAGATTTAAGAGTGAAATACTAAAAGGAGATTGAAAGCTCTGTATATGTGGAGAGGAGTTAACAGCTGGTGAACTTCAAGAAATGGGGGGGGCGCACCAAGCTTTCCACTGGGGACCCACACATTTCAGTATCTGGGGGCATTTTTTCCTGAAGCTGTTCAATTTCTCAAGAAAAGAATCCTGCAATCCACTGGTTGGTGGCATCATGGGGCAGCGCAGGGGACAGCACGGAGGCCCCGCTCTTATTTGATTCCCCTGTTTTCAGTCACCCACACCCCCTTCCAACTTTATTCCAGTTCCATTTCTCCAGAGAACAGACCCCAGTCTGCTGCTGGGGTGGGGACGGGGGCACGGGGCAGATGGGTGCTCAGATATCCAGGGTGCAGAGGAGACCCTGGAAGTCTAACTGCTCTAGTTCTCAAGGCTCTTAAATCATGCCCTCTATGCTGGCTCCTCACCCTGCCTTCCACAGTAACCCGTGCCTTCCATCTGAGCCTCTCAGCAGTTCTGCAGGCAAATTACTTCATTTCTATATTGCCGGCCTTCAGGCTGACGCAGCCGTCCCTGCACTACTTCAATATTACGCCTCCATTTGCTTCAGAGCGCTCCTCCGCCAAGTCTCCGTCGCCATTCTTTGTCTTTGTGGGTTTAATTTTCATTCCTTTACTATCTTTTGAGTGAGATTTGGAACAGGAGCTAACTAGCTTATCTAGCTTGACGAGGCTAATAATATTCGTGAAACACTTTGAGACCAGCACAAGAACAGCAAATGTGCCTTAAAGTGATGAAGGCCAAAGCACGAAGGCCAAGACCAAAAGGACCAGATGTGTCTTGATCCCTTGTTTCCAAGCAGCGCTGGCATGTTTTATTCTGGATCTCTCAAAGTTTGTGTATTCATTAGAGTTTATAACAAATATTTTTTTAACAGAAGTGCTTCTGTACAAATTTATCCACCGTGATGCTTTTTTAAAATGTTATTTACTAAATGAGGTCACTTTACTCACCCATAATCTCTTCTTATGCTGACTCTGACTTTTCTATGAAAATATTTCTTCTAATATTTATTAATAAAATCCTTTTCTAGGGTTTCATAGTCCTTTTCATTAGTTGCTGCTACTACAGTCAACACTAATTACATTTCAATCTTTGAATAAGGCCACTTGGTTTATTACAATCTTAGCTCCCTGTTAGCAAATTAATCTGCATATTTGAATTTCATGAAACGTTCACAATTTACATTTCCTTGACAACAAACCTCAATCCAATATTTTCACAGAAAGACATTTCTCAGCTGGACACTGTCTTAAGCAAATATGGATTTCCTTCTCAATCACAGTGTAAACACTGAATTAATGAATGGATTTAAGGACGGCTATTCTCTGTGGTCAGACACCAGGCCACGTCACGATCCTACTGCGCTCCACAGCCACACTTGCTCAGTCAGGGACTAAGTCCAACCAAGGGCTTACATAATTTTGCAGTAAATGCTGACCAATTGCCAGGATGTAACATTGTGGCACTTGGCAAATGAAAGTGGTGTTTTGGAGTGGAAATAATGCTTTTGGAAAAGATCGCTAAATGATGATAATTGCTTTAGTTAGCGAGATCAATGAGTATGTTTATGAGTAAGAACAAAGAGCTTAGCACTTGGAAGAACTATGAACCTATGCCAGATAGAAACATTTCCTCTCTCTGGGCCATCACATGTTATCAGCTGAGCACAGAGATTAGTCACAATGCTGGGCCACACATTCCCGGCCTCACCACTCTAATCCCTGTGGCACCTCCAAGACCTGGAAGCATAGTCAGCAGCCATTGCAGAGGCCCTCATGGCTACCACGGATATGCAGCCAGGCAAGTCTGCCCTCCGTCCCGAGGACAACAGTCCCCGGTGGCCAGGCCAGGCTGGGCCAAGCACCCAGCATAGCACCTGGCACAGAGGAGGGACTCCATGTACACAGACTTAGAATGAAAAATTCTGTTTTATCATCCAAGTCATTTCAAAGAGCACCTAAAGGAGGGGTGGGGAGCTAATGAGCCTCAGTGCAGTTTTCATCTTAATTCCAGGAAATCAGAAGGGAGCCACAAACCAAAGAGTAGTTTCCGCCGAATGGGATTTGGTGGTTGGCTGGTTCCGAGAGAAGCCATTGCCAGTCTGAGGACACATACCAGTTATAACTTCTAAAGAGTGGACAAAACTTTACTCCTAAGGACTTGCTTGTAAGTCTGCTGGGAAGACATGAATTTTGTGTGGGAATATCCACATTGAAACCTCAACTAGATAAAAGTAAAAAATCAGAGTGTGGAAAACCCAAGATTAGCAAAACGCGTACTGGTTTTTCCACGTATTCCCAAACACGACAGAAAGAGGCAGCCTTACCTAAACTGAGCTTTATTTGCTTGCTTGCTTTCTCCTTTCTTTCTCCCTATCTATCTGTGCTGTAGCGCTAACACAGGAAACTGACCAAACTTAAGACTTCAAAGGAAATGTCTCACACAGTCAAGCCTTCCGAACTCCCTGGGAAAACAAGTTCAAAAATAAACTTGGAGGTTTCAGAATGACAGCAGAGTTGCTGTCTACTTTACACAGTTCAGTACGGTTTGAATCTCTTTAAATGAGCATGATGACCAAAATTTTTCTATGTTTGTGGAAAAAATTAAATCTTTAATATTGAGTGCTGCAGCTTCCCCCTAAACCCACCCAGCTTGCACAAAAAGGAGAGTGGCAAAAGGGAAAAGAAAAGCCTGCAAGAAGGTCCTCTTCTACTAGGGTTGGAGATCCTAGAGGATCATGAAGACCAGGGCTCATGGGACTAACTAATCTGACCACATGAGAATGGAGCGTGGGTGTCACGCTGGACCTCCTGGGACCCTCCCCACACCTCTGGAAGTCCACTCCCTTCCTTTCCCCATGAAGGGTCTCCCACCACATCAGTCTCTGCTCCATTTCTGTTGGTTCTGATCCCAATCCTCTTTCCTTACCTGATTAGCAAGAGTATTACCACTTAGTGTATGGTGTTCTTATATCGCCAAGTTTAATTTTAAAATTCAGTGATTGGTTATCTTATATTCCACATGGTCTCTGAAAAAACATAGAATTCATGTCCCTAAAATGTTTAAGATATGTTATTCATCCTTTCTCACCTCTGAGCCCTGAAATGATTTCTAAAAGTTCTCCCGCCGATGCAGAGCTAAGCTATAGAAGTCTGCAATTCTGAAGATGAGTAACGGAGCCTAACATCCAGGTGCAGGGGCACGGACTATGTCTACCATTTGACTCAGCTCAAATCCTGACTCTGGACAAGTTCTTTAACTTCTCTGAGTGTTCTCCTACCTCTGAAGTCAGATTATTAATAATGACTTCATAAAGTAATTGGGAAAATCAAATCACATATTGAATGCTAAATGAAACAACAGGATATAACAAATGAAAAAAATTCCAACGTGGCATTTATGGCCATAAGAAAGCTGACTTTGATCATAAAATGTTTTTAAATACTTTGAGGCCGAAGCTAAAAACCCCACTGGTTAACCAAACAGCATTAACCACCAACATCCTGAAATAATTTATTAACTAATTAAGAAACCAGAGGGCTGAGAATCTAAAGTACAGTGCTGTGTCCACCGTGGAAATTTAATAAATAATTGTTGGCTAAATAAATGAATGTTTTTATGTTGCCAGTTACACAGAAAAGATCTTAACCAGAAATAAGAGACCTATGACATTTGTGCTGTAGTTTCCCATAAGGAGCCTAAGCCCAAACGCGTCCATACAAGGTTGGTGCGTTTTCCCTCTAAGCCCAACTCTAGCTTCAGAATCCTCCTCAACACTGAAAAGCTCTTCAGACTCAGTTCATACCTTATGCTCACATTCACATTACTGACATTAACACAATGCTATCAGGCCACCAAGAGGAAGGTACCCAGCAAGAGAAGCTTCTGTCCTTACACAGTTTCTACAACCTTTACTTTCAACATTTTTTTCTCCAGTAAAACGCTATCTCCTTTCAGCTACAAAAATCCTGTTCTTTCTCCCAGGCTCACCGACTCCAGCAATCTCTGCCGTCTCTGGCATTCTAGTACACAGTCAGTTCTACTCAGTTCAGCACAAGCTCTTTCGTAGATCAGTTTTGGCCCAACAACTACATTTTAGGTTTTTTCAACTGATTCTGAGTCAGACATGCACGTCATCCCCCCACGGTGCCAGGCAAGTGAGGAGCGCTTCCTTTATATCATAATGTCTGGTCAGATCCTCGCAACCCCTCCCCAGTAAGGGATTCTATTTCCTCCCCCTTTAGAGAGGTATCAACTCTGAGGGCTGGTAATGTCCCCAAGGTCTCACACCAGGCTCGGAGGCAGCACCAGGATTTAGACCCAGACCTTCTGTCTCTAAGACCTGAGCCCTTTCTTGAACAGGGACCACATTTTCATTTTTCGGCCTCCCACGGTCTCTGGTACAGTTAGGCTGACATGGGCATCGGACAGCTGTGGACGTGGACCAACCTGCATCTCTATGTCCCTCTGCATTGGCAGGCCAGCAAGTCAGCTTCCTGTCTGTCAGATCTCAGTGGAAGTGTCACTCCTCAAGGGGGCCTTCCTCTTTGCCATTTTCCCAGGATCCAGAACAGCATCCTGCAAATAGCAGGTGCTGAATGAATACAGGAATGAATGAACTAATAAATCACGTAAATGCACAGCTCTTTGACTCCCCTTTTAAAATTCGAACAATTTTTTTTCAAGTCAAGATTTTCCATACAAATCCCATATGTCCATCCTGCAGGCACACCACTACCTCTGGCTGGAATATGTTTAAAACACCAGAATCTGATCATCAGCATCATTGCGGCTTTTCTTCCTGCCTCCAGGCGCCACGCTCACAAGATATGTGTTCCAAAAGTAGAAAATAGGCCCTGGGGTTATCAAGCATCTCTGAAGGGGAGTAAAGCGACACTGGGGAATTTCAACAATGCCAGCTGTAGCAAGCCCGAGTCCCTAAACTCCTCAAAGAGGATTTCTGCAAAGTGAGTCCCAAAGCTAAATATCCTCCCCGGGAATATATGTTATGCCTTCTGCAAAGTCCCTCTTCTTGGTCACTCAAAACAAGATCAAACCAGGGAAGCTTGTCCATCTTTGTCTTCATCAGAGAAAAGACTGAAGGAGTCAGCATCCTGAGCAACCTTGGCCATATGACTGCCAAACCTGAGCCACCTGGAGAGAGCTGGCAGCAAGCAGACTTACTCCTCCCTGTGGGCATCAATTCACAAGCCAAGCAAGTCTCATCAATGGATCCGCCAGTTGTTTGCAGGGGATCCAGAAAGACTATGCTATAAATGACAGGCACCAGGATTTGTCCACAGAAACCTACTGAGTATCATATAGTGTGACTGCTAAAAACGAACAGAAAATAACACTGTGTAGTCACCCAAAATATCAAAAAATGAAATTAAAATAAACCCTCTAAAATAGAAACCTAGCAGATTCCCACATGTGTAAATTCAGGTTGTCTGTACCACCCGTGTTTGATGACACCAGTAGTCTGATGAACTCTTGGGTGGGCAACAGGGGAAGGGGGACTGTCCCAGACCCCAAAGTCATGCCGAACATGTTATATCTTGTTCTCACCAGTTACTTAGGTAAATGAAGAACGGAGGGTTCTTTCAGATCTTCTGAGCATTTTTGAGGTCCTCGGCTCCCTTTCTCCTTTCCTAAAGCCCTCCCATGCCATCCCCAACTTCACATTCTGCTCTTCGTCTTCTGCCCGAGTCTCCCTGGTTTCACAGCTCCACACAGCTGGGCTCGTTAGTACAAGGGCCTCAGATTATATTTGGAAGTTGCTATGGTCAGAATGTTTCTGTCCTCGCAAGATTCATATGTTGAACTCCTCACCCCCAAAGATGATGGTATTAGGAGGCTGAGGCTCTGGAAGGTGGTTAGGTCATGAGGGTGGAGTCATTGTGAATGGGACCAGTGTTCTTATAAAAGAGACTCCACAGAGCTCCCTAGTCCCTTCCCCCATGTGAGCACACAGCGAGAAGGCGCCGGCTATGAACCTGGAAGAGGTCCTCAGAAGAATGCCCCCTGCTGGCGCCTTGATCTTGGACTTCCAGCCTCCAGAACTGTGGGAAACAGATTCCTGTTATTTATAAGCCATTCAGTCTGTGGTATTTTGTGAGAACAGCCTGAAGCGACTAAGACAGAAGTGAACAGGATATAAACAAACACATACCTTCAAATGAAATGTGTGTGGAAGGACCGTTCAAGTCTCTTTCAAAGAAAGAACTTGTCTCCCTCTTGGGCCCCATTTCCTAAGTGCAGAATCCCTTCCTCTCTGGTGTCTAGGAGTCAGGGGACGGCAGAAGGGCCTGGGGCAGAAGTTAGAACTGGGAGCTTCTGACTGCATAGCCTCCTAACCCAGGCCCTGGCGTGGATGGGTAAAGGCCATCCATTCTATTACCTTTGTTTTATATTTAAATATCTTTATTTTATACAGATGTCTCCAGTAAGGAAATTTCACAATTTATGATGTTTCTCAATAGTCAGAAATTGAATTAGCAATCAGAAATTGAAGTTTCAATTATATAAATAAAAGTATTATATAATTTAGCTTTCTAGGCTTTGTCAGTATATAGTTTTGTATTCATGTGAATATGGATATTTTTAAATGTCACTATCTTGAAAGCATACTAAAATTTAATAGTCCACTCAGAGCCTATCCTATCCTTATTTTGTTAAAAACAGCTTTCCACAAGCACTTCGAGAAGTTAAGACCTATTTCTAGGAGCCCTGTCCTCGGTCGCATCTTCACTACTAATAGCTATTTTAGTCTTTCACAAGCTTGACATACAGATGCCTTTAGAGAAAAAATTCTCAAAGACCCTTAGTATTCACTTAATGTATGAATATTAAACTATTATAGATCATGTCACCATAAAAACCAAAACAAATCTGCATATTAAATACAAACAATTATAAAACCCATACAATTCAAATTCACAACATGAATTTAATAGGCAGGATAATGTTCATTTTGCTGAAACCAAATCACCATATGTGGTACGAACAGGAAGACACCAACAACAGCAGGCAGGCCTTCATGATTTCATCGTGCACACATTACCTTGTGCAATTTTCTGTGACCTCTTTTTATGCAAACAACTAGGAAACCTTCATTTGTGCAGTGTGCCATAAAAATATCAGGTCTTCACACGGTGTGATGGCCTCATTTACATGTCCGATCCATCTCAGTTCTTTTCCAATAGTTGGAATTAAACTATTGATAATTAAACTAGTGATAATTAAAATACTGTACTAGAACCTGAAACCCAAGCATTATGAACACGGCTATTGGAATGAAGTGGTAGCATCTAGTGGTCACCCAGCTCATTCAGGATATGCTGATACTAATGTTTTATTTAATCACTAACTAAGAGCCTTTTACTGTGCTAGGCACTCTTCTACAGCACTTACATGGAGAGATAGTCCTACACTACAGAACTTACATTCTGGTCGGGAGAGAAAGATAATAAACAAGTGACACATAGTGACAAGTGCCATGAGGAAAATGAAGTAGTGTAAGGAAAGAACGAGGTGGTGGTGGCGGTGAAGGTCCATCTGAGATACAGTGGTCAAGAAAGGCCTCTCTGCGAGGGGAACATTTGATCTGAAAGAGATAATGAGATCTTTCAAGCCATGCGAGTGCCAGGCTGAGAGAGCAGCAAGTTTAGAGCTCCTGAGAAAGGAATGTGCTAGGCAAATCAAAGATCAACATGAGAGCCAAGTTGGCCAGAACACAGTGGGAAATGGGGAGGGAAGGACAGGTGAGGGCAGAGCAGTGGGCAGAAGCTAAATCGGGGGGTCTATGGGCCTCAGTAAGGACTCCGGGTCTTATCCCAAGTGGGCTGGGAAGTCAACAGAAAGAGTCAAGATGTTATTTAAAGCCAGGGGCTGGATGAGTTTAGCTAGGAAGTAATGCAGATAGAGAAGTTGAGGACAGAGCTCCAGCTCCTTGCTGCACAGCATGCTCCATAGACCAGCAGTAACAACATCACCTGGGAGCCTGCTAGAAATGCAAAATCTTCTGCTGGCCTCCTGCCAGACCCACTGAGTCATTATCTGCATTTAACAAGATCCACAGGAGGGTCCAGGCTCTAGCACAGTCAACACTGAGAAGTCAAGAAGAGAAGGAGGAGGCAAAGACAACTGAAAGGAACAGCCAGTGGCACCGGAGGAAACCAGGAGAGAGAGATGGCCTAGAAGCCAAGAGAAGCTGGTGTTTCAAAAGGGAAGGAGTGGTCAAATAAATCAAACACTGCTAATAAGCAGATGAAGACTAGGAAACCATCACTGTATTAGGCAGGATGGAGATCAAAGGTGACCTTAACGAGAACTTTCACTGGAGTGGAAGGCATGAAAGCCCAACCAGAGTGGGCTAACATAAGAATGGAGTAAAGACAATTCTTTCAAGGAATGGTAACTATCACAGAAATGAAAACGTAAAAATAAAAGGCTGTCACGGAAAACTTAGATGCCTCCCTTACCCATCCCAACTCTGCCTTCCCCGTCAGTACAAAATCTCTGCATTTGTTTCCTCTCCCCAGGACCGTGCTTGCAGCCTGCGGGGTGTAAATGAAATGCATAACCTGGTCCTCATGCTCAAAGTACTCTAAGCCAGACCTCACCTACTTTTATGGAATATTACTTTTTTCCCCTCCCTCTGGCATTTGCCTATTGTCCTGTGTTGCATCTGAACCTCTAAGGGTGTACCAAGAGCAGCTCAACAGGTATGGTCTGTGTTTAATTAAGACCAATTGCAGAACCATACAGAAATATCTTTTCACCCACAACTAAAATATACAACTATGTACCAGGGGGCTTTGGGGAGAAAAAGGAATAAAATTTAATAATCTTAAAAAAAAAAAAAAAAAAGACTCTAACCCAGAAAAAAGTCACTCGTTTTCCCATTCCTCTACAGAACCCCTTGACCTACTAATGCCCACCTTGGTCCCATTCCAGGTAGAGTAGAACCTACAGAGAACCACATTCTAAAGGTAGAAAGCCTTCAGAGACCATCTAACATACTCCTGATTTCCGTTACATGAGCCACTGTCAAGCTCCCTAGTTCCCAGTTTTTAGACCCAAACCTCTGCTCTGGGATCCACTGCCATCCCCAGCATCACTTCTGCCATGCCAGTAACACAGCAAGAGCGATTCCAGTTTACTTTCCTCCACCTACACCCAGTGCTGGTGTCAGGTCCCTCATCTGTCCTAGTGTCCCGCAACATGGAGCAATTCTTTAGTTCGCAATAATAATAATAATGTAATTAACTCTTAAATACTTGTACTATGTACCAAGTGTTCTTCTAAATGCTTGTATTTTGAACATTAACCTACTCTGAACGGTGATGTCCAAAACTAACCTCGGGACATTAGCCTAATGTTGAACATTAACACACACACTTTAATTTGGGTGGTTAACAGATGACCCCATCGGAAAAAAATTGCAAAAAGAGAGAAAGTACTGAAATGTCTTCATTTTCTTATATGGGCTAAATTTAGAAAAGTTTTCTATTAAAAACCAAAGTGCAATTTGTTATCCTGGGTAGACCTCTCCAAGGGGAGCCTTGTCTGAGTCTTGGCAGTGGAAATC